TCTTGAAGTATTGATTCAAACGTTCGAGGAAGTAGTTCCTAACCTGATCAAAAAATGTATAACTTACTAACTTGCTTTCTTTGCAAAATTAAAATGATCAAAAAATGTATAACTTACTAACTTGCTTTCACTTACCCATGCGCACAATTAATTGACGCTCATCATTCTTCTTGTATCTTCCATGATAGTTCGCAGCAATGTGTCGGAGACAATACCTATGTTGGACAAAGGGTGGCTGCCACATTGGACCCAAAGACTCCATTGCTGCTTTGATCTCAGCTCCGCGATCTGAAATGACACAGATTTTTTCCCTCGTGATAACATGTGCACGTAAATTTCGGAGAAAAAAGCCCAAGAATCTGTATCTTCTCCTTCGACAAGAGCAAAAGCAACTGGAAGAATGTTGCGATTGCCATCTTGGACAAATGCCAATAATAAAACTTTCTAGTATTTTCCATACAAGAAAGTCCTGTCGATCTGGACCACAGGCTTACAGTATTTGGAAGCATTAACACACTGTGGGTAACTCCAAAAAACCCGGTAGAATTGGCATCGATCGCGAAGAACTCGATCATTATGGTATGCATAGGAGGTTTCGAAGTCCACAATTGTCCCAGGATTCAATGTCCGCACCAGCCTAAACCAACCTGGAAGTTCGTTGTAAGATGCATCCCATTCGCCATGAAGTTTGACAATGGCATTTTATTTTGCCAACCAAGCTTTTTTATAGGAGACGGTGTACCCATACTGCGATTGTATAGCTGAAATCAACACTGCAACAGCTATATGAGAGCTTGCTTTTACCATGGGCATGATGGCTTGGCATATCACTTCAGAGTCCAAGTTGGGATGATCTTGGTTGACCCCTTCAGCACAACATGTGTGAGGACCGTTGTATACTGTTAGTTCACATATGTTGTTTTTCCTCTTCATTTTCGATACGTGAACCATCCAATTGCATCAGTTTTCGCGTCGGGCACAGTAGCATACATATTTTTCGGTCGTCGATCGGTTGACTCTGGACTGAACAGAATTACGGATATTGTAATTTTTGATAGCCATCATCGCTTATTCTTTGCTTGAAAACTCCATGCCTAAAGATAACTCACCATTATTTATTGATGAGTAATATCCATAGTCACTGAGATGAGGCATATCAACAAATTTTGGCCCGTACATTGCACCATAATCAGCTTCATACATGTGTGCAGGAGGGTCAATTTGTGCCATATTTCCTGGAACTTCATCATCATCGGAGTTGAATTACGGTGATTCTGGGTGAATGAATAGTCCAGTCTCAGCACCATCCGCACCAGGCTCACGAAACGGTTCTTCTGGTGAAGATGATGGTTCCTCATACTCTCCACATTTAGGTCGAAGAATCTACTACTTGCACGCCTTCCCTTTGAACTGGAAGGCATATCGACATTGAGATCGAAAAAGCTCGCAGTCGAATGCCTCCCCTTGGAACTTGAAGCCATCGTGTCAAATGGAAACTGCACAAATGGTTACGTCGATGGCATCTCTATATGGTCAAAGAAATTTGCAGATGAATGCCTTCCCCTTGAACTAGACGCGGTGTTGCCATACAGATTGTTCGTGGACCCACCTCGGTACATATCGTAAGGAGTTGCGGATGAATGTCTCCCCATTATGACATTAAAATCATTACACATTACTGTAGTCGGGCTGTCAACTTGATCAACTTGTTCAGCCAGCCCATAGTGTGAGCTTAAAGATTGACCCCGAACAACACGCACTGCAACAAAATGTGCATACATCTCAATAGAGGCGTCTGAATAATTACTTTGAGCTTCAACCATCATTTGAACATCATCATTGTTTGAAAGTTCGAACGCTGTATAAGTTAATGACAACAATGATGTTGGAAATCTGTACTGTACCGACGACATTATTCTGTTACTTCCAACATGAATCTTCCTCGAAATCTTCGTTATCAGCTCCTCAAGAGTTATGTTTCTCTTGAATGATATTTTAACATGCTCATTTGATACGAAAACAACGCCGGTTTCATCTTCTCGAATTTCACCATCATAATAAACAATAGCTGAAAGTCGCGCCATTCTTTGAGTTTAAAAGTGCAGCAATATTATATCTGCAAAACAAATAACTTAAACAAACCTGATTAAATAAATTATATATGAACGAAAATATAACAGAATTTTTTTTACACATCAATGTAAATAATTTAAATAATATAATTTTATATTATTACCTGCACCACAAAACTATTTCGACGTATGCTCCCGCTTTTCAATTTTACAAACATAAAAATTAATTAAAAATAATTAGTATAATATTTTTTCAAATTATGATAATAAACAATAAGTATAATTAAAAAATTATAACAAAATTACCTTATAACGAAAAATCGCACGAACTTCTAAATCAAATATAAGAAGATTGCCAGAATTATTACTCATTGACGGAATTGTTGTATTAATTTATAAGAGAGGAGAGATGCGTATTTATAAACATATAAGGCGCGGTACCTGCACCGCGTTATATGTAATTATTATATAGCACGGATTAGGGACCGCGTTAAATATAATTTTGGTACGGCGTATAGCGCGGCCCCTGATCCGCGCTATACACTACGTGGCGTATAACGCAGATCAGGGGGCGCGCTATACCCACGTAGTGCCAGATCACCGTATATTGCGGAGCAGGGGGCGCGCTTTATTGCGTAATCAGCGTATAGTGCGATTCAGGGGGCGCGCTTTATTGCTACGAGTGTTAGATCGAAAAATATAATCTGACCGATGTTAGATCAATAAATATACCGATCACCGGTGATTTTTGAGGAAAATCGCCTTATACTTATATTATATATATATATATATTCACATGAGTTTAATAAAAAATATTCACATGAGTTATGGAAAAACTTTTTTAAAGAAATATATATATATATAGAGAGAGAGAGAGAGAGAGAAATTGATTTTTTTTTTAATTTGAGGTGGGAATTGACAATTTTGACCAATTTGATTTTATAATTTGGCAAATTGACGTATGCGCCCGACACGGGATTGATTTTAGTGTCCAATAAAATATTTTCAGTTAATAAGGTACGCGCTCCTCCAATAATCAACTCTTTTTATTTTGTTATTTGGTTTTTAATTTATTTCAGTCATGGTTTAATTCTAAATCTCTTATAGAATTTTTAATTCAATGCAATTTACTCATATATATATTCTAATTACTTTTAATTTTTCATTCTTTCTTTAATGTGCATAATTATTAAATGTGAATTTTAATTTTAAAATCTTTTATTTTAGTCATTTATGTATAATAATTTTTATTGCAATATCCATGTTTAATAATATTATATGCATAAATATAATATAAATTATAATATATATACATGCATAATGTTATCATAATATTCATCATACATATTATATTATTATTATAATATATATATATATATATATTAATATATATTATAATTGTTTTAATTTTTTTCTTAACTTTTGAAATGAATACAATTCAATTTATTTTACAGATTTTCTTTATATTTTACAATTATTTTGATTTGATTCCTCTATGTTGTTTAATTTATTTAAATTTTAATTTGTAATTTTATACTTGTTCAATTTAGTCCTTAAAATTATATTTGTGTATCAAATTGACCATACTTATTTATATTTTTGTAATTTACTTCAAACCCTATAAATTACATAATAAACTTCATTTCAAATTTTATAAATTATATCATAATCTCTAAACCCTATAAGCTTTTGTTCACCAACTTTTTAAATGGATGCAATTTAGTCAATTTTTATATTAATTTCAACTTCACATTTTATAATTATTTCGATTTGATCCCTCATCATTGTGTGTTGTTTAATTTATTTAAATTTTTGTTTATAATTTCATGTTTGTTCAATTTAGTCCTTAAAATTATTTTTTATCAAAATTGACCCATAATTATTTATATTTTCTTGTAGTTTACTCTAAATCATATACAATTACAAATTATAATTCAATGTTTATGAAAGGCGAAAAATAATTAATCCAAAAATGATTCAACCTGAAGTTAATCCGTATTTGGTAAGATCCGACCTAAATTTTGTATGTCAATGATGTGACCCGATTTAAATGAGATCCGACTGAAGTCCATCCGAACATGAATTAATATGATATTTAATTGCTTCGTACCTTAACCGTTTTGACTTGAACTAACATCGATCCGAACTAAAATTAACCCTACCTGAACCCGAATTGAATCTAATATCAAATCAACCTGAAAATGACCCAAATTGATTTGACCTAAACCCGACCTGATCTGAATCGAACCACTAAATTAACTTGACACGACCTGTATCTGATTTGAGATAATCCGACATAATCCAACTTAAACCTCAACGATTACCTGATTTCACATCCTACCCCTTTCTCCATCAAAGTGCACTCTTATCACTTTTGTCGGTAGTAGATATTGGCTAAGCTCAAGTCGTCGCTAGGGGTGTAAACGAGCCGAGTTGAGCTCGAGTATTGCTGAGCTCGACTCGACTCGAAAACTCGTGAGCTTAAAATTTTTAAGCTCGACTTAAACTTGAAATCCTGAACTAAAGCTCGTGAGCAGCTCGAAAAGGCTCAAAATGAAAAAAAAAATCTTAAACTTAACTAGATTGAAGCCTCAAACTCAAACTCGAACCTGAATCTTAAATAAATAAAAATTTTACTGTATTTTTTTTTTTAAAATCAACAAATAAATGTTAATATTATTAATAATTTATTTTTTAAAAAATAAAATATTAATATATTATATTTTCGAGTTGTTCACGAGCTTTTCGAGTCGAGTATCAAGCAGCTCGTTTTGGCTCGTTAAGAATTCGGGTCGAGCTCGAGTCGAATTCATTCGATCTGAGTATTTATCGATCATTGACCGAATCGATCTCGAGTAGCTCGCGATCAGTCTCGTCTCATTTACAGCCCTAGTCGTCGCCTATGCTTCAAGTGTATTTTGCTCTATTCTGCTTCAATCAGACAATCCATACTTTTTCATGGCTTCTTCTTCATCTTTATCTTCTGGTCCAATGAAGCATCAAGTTTTCTTGGGCTTTAGAGGTGAAGACACGCGTCTTAGTTTCACCGGTCATATACTCCAAGCTTTGAAAGCCACGGGAATGAATATCTTCGATGAAGAGAAACTGGAAGAAGGGGAGCAACTTTCACAAGCAATCGCAGCCTCGAGTCTCTCCTTAATCGTTCTATCTAATGATTACGCTTCTTCGAAATCATGCTTGGCTGAACTCTCTGACATCATGGACCGCAAGGACACTCGAGGACACATTGAACAGCATGAATCGAAAGGGCTAGATCAAGTAAATCGATGGAAAGCTGCCTTCTCTGGAGTCGGTAAATTAAAAGGATGGCATATAGAAGGAGGGAAATTTGACAGGTAACTCAATTTTTCTCATCTTCTTATATTTGACTTGTATTTGTTTTAGCTTTCATATATAATTACATATTTCTGTTAATATCTGATAGACCTGAAACCGAGTACATCAAGAATATCATTATGTATTAAAAAAGTTGATGAATAGCAAGATTAGAACTTCTGAAGAATTGGTTGGATTAGACGATCAAAAGAACATGATTTTGAGTCTGATTGAGCAAGAAAAGAGTCGTGTAATAGGACCATGGGGAATGGGTGGTATAGGCAAAATAACCCTTGCTGATGCTGTTTATAAGGAAGCCTCTCCAAACTTTGGAACTCATTGTTTTCTTCAAAATATAAGTGAGAAAATAAAAAAACCAAGGGTGGAAAACTTTATGAAATGAGCTTCTTTCCAAACTCTTAAATGAAAAAAAAATTCTTATCGACACCCTTTCGATAGAATATCCTTACCAAGAAAGGCTGAACAATAAAAGAGTAATTGTTGTACTTGATGATGTTAGTGATCCGGATCAAATAGATTACATGGGTGTTAAACATAAAATCGTTGTAACATCTAGAGACAAACAAGTACTTAAGAACGGAGAAGCTAACAGAATACATGAGGTAAACTGGTTAAATTAGGTCGACTCTCTTCAACTTTTTTCTACATTTGCATTTTAGTTGTTGAATCCTAATGTTGATTTTAGAGATCTATCGAACAACTTTGTAAGCTACGCCCAAGGCAATCCACTTGCTCTTAAAGTTTTGGGTTCTAAACTCTATACAAAGCCTAAAAGAGAGTGGGAAAGCGAGGTGGATAAACTAAAGGAGTATGCCCAACCACAAATTTCACAGATTCTGAAGAGTAGCTTTGACGGGCTGGATGAATTAGAGAAGAATATATTTCTTGACATAGCATGCTTCCTTCAATGAAAATACCGAGATGAGGTAGAAGAAATTCTAAGTTGCTTGTATAAGGGTGTAGTGTGTGGAATAAGCAACTTGGTAGACAAGTGCCTACTTGATATAACACCCTCTGAAATAATTTCTATGCATGATATGCATGAAGAGATGGGCAATGACATTGTAAGCCAAGAATGTAAAGACCCGGCAAAGCGCCGTAGGTTAGGAAATCCTAAAGACGTGGTTCAAGTGCTCAAATAGAATAAAGTAAGTGTTAATTATTGTATTCTTTTTATTTTTTCTATGCTAATACTTGATAAACTTTTTTTTCAGGGGGCTGACTTTATTGAAGGAATAAAGTTAGACATGAGTAAAATTGGTAACCTACAGTTTCGTCCTACTGTTTTTGAGAAGATGCATAATCTTAGATATATTAACTTCTATTTTCCTCCGTTTAGTGCTGCGAGACATGCAGACCAAGTTGATTATAAGAAACTATACGCAGACGGAGTTGATAGTATATATCTTCCCGATGAGCTAAGACTTTTTTGTTGGCCTAATTACCCCTTCAAATCTTTATCAAGTTTTAATCCACATAATCCTGTCATTTTAGAATTATCACGTGGCAACATGGAACAACTCTGGAATGAAGATGATCATCTGATATATGCTTTTCCCTACTTTCTTCATCCAATAAGTTTTTTTAAGAAACAACGTCAGTTGATTTATTAATACCTATATTTATTTGTACATACATATATTTTGAAGTAATGTAGCTCTTTTATATTTTCATTGCACAGGATCTTATTAGTTTAAGGAAATAAACGTGTCTTATTGTAAGAATTTAAGGAAGATCCCAAATCTATCAGGAGCCATCAATCTCAAAAAGCCTGATCTGTATGGAGTGTAGAAGCTTGGTTGAACTTCCTTGCCTCAATCATTTGTCATCTCTTGAAACCCTTCAACTTGAGGGATATCTTAACCTCAAGAAGTTTCCTGAGGTCCCAACACATTTTTCTACCTTATATTTGGGACAAACTGGACTAGAAGTACCTGATTCAATTGAGAAATTCCTTAAAACATCGTCTTTGACAAACTGAAGGGTTAAAATTGTATCGAGCAATATTTCAAAGTTGAAATCCCTTGAATATCCGAATCTTAGTGATTGCAGCATCGTCGAGTTTATATAAATCCCGTTAAGCTTAACAGAATTATACTTATCTGGGAGTCAAATTGAAAAAGTGGCCTCATCTTTCTACACTCCAAGTAATCTTCTGCTCTTATATATGAGAGGGTCAAATATTCAAAAGCTACAGTGCAATATTGTATTGTTTGGTTCGAGTTCGACAGCAATTCCAACAGTTGATGAACCCTCAGTAACCTCGATGTTCAGAAGCCTTACATGTTTAAAAATGGATTATTGCAAGAGCCTTAAAGTACTCTTGCAGCTTCCACCATATCGGCGGTTCTTGGCTGCATGTGGCTGCGAGTCGTTAGAAAATGTATCGTTCGCAGATCAAACCTTATATCAATTCGATTTTTTAGGCTGTGATGAGGATGTACTTTTCATGTTATTCTCTAATTGCTTCAGCTTGAATCAAGATTCAGAGGATAACATCGAAGCCAATGCAATCTAAATATTGGGTCCCTGGCAAAGAAATTGACATTCAGCTTGAAAAATTTTGTTGTGTGGGAATTATCATGTGAAAACATGGAACAACTTTGGAATGAAGATGATCATTTGGAATATGCTTCCATACTTTCTTCATTAAAGAAGTTTTCTTTAAGAAACATCATTTGATTTACTAATATATACGTGTATGTGTACATATAAGTAATTTAATTGTCTCAAATATTGAAAACTAGAGTATAGGAAATAAAAAGGGTTCCGTTCTGAATGTTGAACAGTTCTTGTCCCAATAAAAGATAAAATTTACACTTAAAAAAATCTCTAGCCGTTTGTACCCTCTTTTTTAACTTTGGTTGACAGACGGCAATGTCACTCTTGATGTTGGTTATAATTATTTATTTTTCATTATTTTCTTATTTCATATTTTTTTTCCTTTGGTTTTAATAATTTTATCTTTATGTGTGTTCTCTTTTTCTATTGTATAATTTTTTGCCTTTTGGTTGACAGGTGTTTCTGAAGACTTGGTAGGAATAGATGATCAGAAAAAGGTAATTTTGGGGTCGGCTGAGCTAGAAGACAGTCGTGTAATAGGACTCTGGGGTATGGGTGGTATAGGCAAAACTACTCTTGCTGATGCTATATATAATGAAATCTCTCCAACCTTAAAAAACGTTGCTTTCTTCGGAATGTTAGAGAGGAAATAAAAAAACAAAGGGATGGTATCCGTAAAGAATGAACTTCTTTCCAAACTATTAGACGACAAAATCGAAATAGACACCCCTTCCATAGGATCCAATCTTATCAAAGAAAGGCTGAGCAATAAAAGAGTCATTGTTGTTCTTGATGATTCATAGCAAATACATTGTATGGGTATTAAACATTTCGGTGATGGAAGTAAAATCATTGTAACATCAAGAGATAGCTTAGGAATGGAGGAGCTAACAAAATACACGAGGTAAAGAAGTTAAAGGAGAACGATTCCCTTCAACTTTTTGCCACATTTGCATTTAGGCTCTTGAATCCTCCTATTGGTTTTCAAGATTTATCGTACAAGGTTAGAGATTATACCCAAGGCAATTCACTTGCTGTTAAAGTTTTGGGTTCTAAACTATATAGAAAGTCTAGAAAAGAGTGAGAAAGAAAGGTGGATAAACTAAAGGAATATTCCCAACCACAAATTTCTCAGATTTTGAAGACAAGTTTTGATGGGTTGGATGAGCTTGAGAAGAAGATATTTCTTGACATAGCATGCTTTTGCAACACCTTCCACTGCTTGTGCAATGTTTGGTCTTGTGCAATATTTCTAGAGACATTTTCCAGTTTCTCTCCCCCATCCGACCTCTGATCGATGAACCGAAACCACCATCGTGCTCGTTGTTGCCCGAGGAACAAAACCCCTCAAACCTTTCGTCGTGAATCATCGCCGTTCGTCGTTAATTTCAGTCGGAAGTATCGTCGATAATAACTCGATTTCAGTTGGTTTTTCGTCGATTCACGATGATCCGGTCATCCGTTAACAACACCTCCCGCATCATCGTGTTCATTGCATCGTTCCGAGTCCACCGGTGTTCTCCATTTCTCCGTCGTCACCGACGCGTGGAGGGGTGAGACTATCAAAGTTTCTGACGTTTCGGAATTGAGCTCTCCGCCGTTCAAAATTGTGAACCGAGCTTTGTAAGTGCCTCAAAATCGCTTAATAATTTTAGAAATTTTTTCGTGAATTTTCCGACACTAGGTTATTGTTCATGCGCCGTACGCGCCACCACCGAGAGTGGGCATCGTCTGGCTGTAATTAATTTCTGTTTGGGTGCTATTTGTGTAAAATTCGGGTGTTAGTTTCGTAAATATTTGCAGAAGGTGGATGATTTTGTAATTAATTTATGTTAGGGTGATATTTGTGTAAAATGGTCGAATGTTGACTGTTGATCGTTGACCGGCGTTGACCATAGTTGACTAGAACTTTGACCGGGCATTAAACAACCTTTGACTTTAACCGAGTATACCTATCTTCACGTTTTTCGACGTTCCAAATCCGATTCTGCAGTCCGTTTTTTGAAATTTGGACCAGAATACCTCGAAATTTCCAGCCAAACCCGTTGACTTTGACTTTGACCGGAAATTCCAAATTTTAGAAAAGTCATATTTTATGTTTTCGACGTCTCGAATCTGAATCCGAAGTCCGTTTCGCCAAATTTGAACCTGGTAAGCTATTTTTCACTGATTTATCATCCGATTCGATCCGTTTTTCAGAATTAAGCTCCGTTTTGATGTAATTTCTGTTGATATGGATCCGAGGAAATATTGGAAGATGATTTTAAGATCGAGGGCGTTCGAATGGAATTTAATAGTCAATCAGTATGGCACGGAAATCGAGGAAATACTTTACTACCTTTTTATGCTTTATTGAACATGTGAATATTGGTAAATGCATGAATAAGATAATATTTGTCTCATTTGGGTAGTTAATGAATTTCTACACTCGATCCGAATACAGTAGAAATTTGGTAACTGATTATGGTTCAGAGAACTTTTATAAGAAATTGAGGGATTGTTAGAATTAAATTTCAAATTCTGTGTTTGGTAATAAAGAAATCAACTTGGATTTGTATCTTATAATTTATTTCATCAAAGGTAAAATGTTAAAGGTACTTGGATGGGAAATTATGAGAATACTCTGGTAGGATAAAATTACGAAAATACCCTTAAGTTGTAATATGTCAAGAATTGTCCCTGGAAGTTGATTTATAACTCTGAAAGGATATATTGATATGATAAAACTATAGATATGTATAAGAAATGCTAATTTGCTTAGGAAATTCGGATAATTGGTTTTCAACCCCAAGAGGGTTTATGCACTATACTAGAAGTCTGTTAAGGAATCATTTCAAGATTTGAGAATGTTCTGAAAAGAAATTAACCATAGGATCTTTAAATTATAATTATTTTCGTTAAGAGTTAATATCGAAATTATTTGGTTAAGAAATTGCGAAAATGTCCTTAAGAGGTTAAATAGTCTGAGTTAACCCTGAATGAGAAAGTACTTTGAGGATTCGTATTTAACTTGATTAAGTACGGATTTGATTGTTAAGATCCCGACTTAGTGAAAAAAAATTCTTGATATTCCGTTGGTAAAAATTTGAGAAGGCATTTGACCTGAAAATATCCAAGATACGAGTAAATACCTGAATAACAAATTATCGGGGGTGCTCTTTTATCAGAATTGTTCGAAGGGACTGAAATAGATGATAAGTTGGTATTAAATAATAAGATAGGATAGAAGGAAATGATTGAAATACATCGGATCTGTAGAATGACCAGAATACCCCTGTAATGGAAATGACCCAAGAATATCACCAAGCTCAGAAATGATTGGATATCATCGAGCTATGAAATGAATGTAATAAATCTGAACACCAAAATTACCAAAATAACCTTATGGCCTAAACTAAGTAAATATCTTGGATTAATTAAGGAATCCAAATAAGCATAGGTATTGGACTACCTTTAAAAGTAATGGAACATAATTCTTGATATTCCGTTGGTAAAAATTTGAGAAGGCATTTGACCTGAAAATATCCAAGATACGAGTAAATACCTGAATAACAAATTATCGGGGGTGCTCTTTTATCAGAATTGTTCGAAGGGACTGAAATAGATGATAAGTTGGTATTAAATAATAAGACAGGATAGAAGGAAATGATTGAAATACATCGGATCTGTAGAATGACCAGAATACCCCTGTAATGGAAATGACCCAAGAATATCACCAAGCTCAGAAATGATTGGATATCATCGAGCTATGAAATGAATGTAATAAATCTGAACACC